GGGGTAACAAGGGAACGTGTTCAGTGCAGATCAACATATAGAAAACAAAAATCCTCACAACTGGACCTATAAGCAGCATCATGATAAATGGAAAAAAGATTAAAGTTGTCAAATATTTCATTTGACTTGGTTCCACCATCAACATCAATGGAAGCAGCAGTCAAGAAATCCAATGACTTATTGCACTGGGCAAATCTGCTGCATTAAGACGTCTTTAAAGTGCTGAAGAGCAAAGATGTCTGTTTGAAGACTAAGGTGTGCCTAACTCAAGCCATGATATTTTCAATTGCCTCATAAGCATGTGAAAGCTGGACAGTGAATAAGGAAGACCAAGGAAGAGTTGATGTTTTTGAGTTGTGGTGTTGGTGGATAATACTGAAAGTACCATGGACTGCCAGAAGAAAGAACAAATCTGTCCTAGATGAAGTGCAGCCAGAATGCTCCTTGTAAGCGAGAATGGCCAGACTTTGTTTTACCTAATTTGCTCATGTTGTCAGAAGGGACCATTCCCTTCCCTGGACCATTCCCTGGAGAAGGATATCATGCTTGGTAACGTGCAGAGTCAAAGAAAAAGGGGAGGGCTCTTAACGAGGTGGATTGACACAGTGGCTACAATGATTGGATCAGGTAAAGCAAGGATTGTGAGGCTGGCACAGGACCAGGCAGTGTTTCATTCTGTTGTACATAGGGTTGCTATTAATCAGAGCCAACTTGACAGCACCTAACAACAGTAATTGTTGGAAACATCAGTACACCACTGTCAATATTGGATGGAACATCTAGAAAGAACATTGTTAGTGAATGACCTGAATGACAGTATAAATGAAGTAGACTTAACAGACTTATATAGAACACCCCACTCCATAGCAGCACAATGTACATTCCACTCCAGTGCTCATGGATCATTTTTTAGGACAGACTACATATAAGGTCACAAAGCAATTCTTGAAAAATTTTAAAAGATTGAAATCATACAGTATTTTCTCTGACCACAATGGAGTGAAGCTAAAAATCAATAACAGAAAAAAATGGGAAATACACAAACACATGGAAATTAAACAACACACTATAAAATTACAAATTGGTCAAGGAATAAATCACCAATTTCTTAGAGTCAAATGAACATGAAAGCACAACGTATCAAAACTTATGGGATGCAGCGAAGGCAGTACTCAGAGGGAATATAGGATTATAACTGACAGAATAACAAAATATCCATGAGTCCATACTGACATAAATAGATAACTGAAAAATAATAATATATTGGAAATACAAGACAAATATTCCTTATGGAAGAATTTCAATTAATAAATGTTGAAGGAATAAAGGAAATACCAAATCACTATTAGGTAGATACCACAATGAAAATTGTTTCAGGCATGATCTACTGATGGATGCTAAAATCAGTGCACAAAAGAGGATGTTTGCACAGTCTGAAAGTGTCTTTTCTCAAATATTAAGTAACTTGTTAAGTGCCGTCAAGTGGGTTCTGACTCATAGCAACCCCATGTACAACAGAATGAAATGCTGCCTGGTCTTGTGCGATTCTCACAATCTTTTTTTTTCCTTTCTTTACTTTTCTCCTTCCTTCCTTCCTTCCTCCCTCCCTTCCTTCCTTCCTTCCTTCCTTCCTTCCTTTCTTCCTTCCTTCCTCCCTCCCTCCCTCCCTCTTTTTGATTGTGGCAGCCACTGTGTCAATCCATCTCATTGAAGTCTTCCTCTTTTTCTTTGACCCTCTACTTTACCAAGCATGATGTCCTTCTCTAGGGAAGGATCCCTCCTGATAACATGTCCAAAGTATATGACACAAAGTCTCACCATCCTTGCATCTAAGAGCATTCTGGCTGTATTTCTTCTGACACAGATTTTTTCATTCTTCTGGCAGTCCATGGCATATTCAGTATTCTTCACCAACACCGTAATTCACATGCATCAATTATTCTTCAGTCTTCCTTATTCATTGTCCAGCTTTTGCATGCCAGTGAGGTGATTGAAAATACCATGGCTTGGGTCAAGTGCACCTTAGCTCTCAAAGTGATATTGCTGTTTT